TAGCATTTGATTTAATGCAGAGTGCACGCTTCCTTACTCTCTACTGTCCAGTACATTTCTGTCACATTCAGGAAATACAAACCAACCCCACAGCCACTGCCTGCTCCAGCAAGTTGCCTGGCTGGTGCCCCAGGGCTCTCCCTGTACCCACAGTCCCCTGCTGTGCACACCCTTCTACCACGCCAAGCAGGAGTTTCCACATGCAAAGCTCTGTCTCCAGGCCTCGGGTTTCTTCTCTATTGGAACTCTCTCCACAATGTGTTTCCTCACCTCACTTACTGAACATCTATGCTCAAATGTCACCTCCTCAAAGAGAAACCACAGCTGGGCAGTCCCACTGGTCTCCAAACGTACTCCGAGTTCTTATCAGACAGTTCCAGAAAGAAAAGAAAAAAATATTTTCCGCACTAGCCACAAAATACTGGTACTTCCACAGCTGGGCTGCCTGGTGAAAGGAAGAAGTGCATTTGTCACCAACAGGGGAATGCTTGGCTTCTCTCCACGTTCATTCATGGGGATGGAGAGAACTCAACACTGACTGAAAACAGTACTGATGGGGCAGGAAACAGGGGAATGTGCAGATCCCGGGTCTGGCTTTATTTAAGAGCATGATTCCATTGTATCCATGTGACTATACTGGCTGATTCAGTCCCATGTTAATGAGCTCTTTCCAATGAAGTACTTGCAATAAAAATTCATTAGCAAGTACATTTGCAAGCATGTTTTCATTTTATTTTTCTTGGATATCCTGGAGTAAAATTACTTCTTCAGCCAACTATTTTCCAAAGTGGCTGTACATCTATCTCACATCAATAAGTAAGATCCCTGACCACTCCATGTTTTTATAATATTTTATGTTAGTTTTAAAAATCTTTATACAGGGGTCAGCACTGTGACAAAGCAGGAAAAGTTGCCACCTGCAGTGCTGGCATCCCATATGGGTGCTGGTTCAAGCCCCGGCTGCTCCTCTTCTCATACAACTCTCTGCTATGGCCTGGGAAAACAGTGGAAGATGGCCCAAGTCCTTGGGCCCCTGTACCCTTGTGGGAGACCCAGAAGAAGCTCCAGACTCCTGGCTTCAGATTGGCCCAGCTCTGGCTGTTGAGGCCATTTGGGGAGTGAACCAGTGGATGGAAGACATCTTTTTCTCTCTCTCTGCCGCTGCCTCTCTGTAACTCTGCCTTTCAAATAAATAAATAAATCTTTAAAAAAAATTTTATGCATTTATTTTATTGATTTGATAGGGAGAGAGCCAGAGAGAGCCAGTCAGACAGAGAGATCTCCCATCTGCTGGTTCACTCCCCTAAATGCCCACAAACAGGCAGGTCTAGGTCAGGCCAGGCCAAAGCTGGGAGTCAGAAACTCAATCCTGCATGTGGGTGGAAGAGACTTCAGTCCTGGAGTCATCTCCTGCTGCCTCCTAAGGTGTGCATTAGCAGGAAGCTGGTCTTGGAAGTAGAGCTAGAACTTGAACCCATCCAAATGCCAAGCCTGTTTGTTGATGTCCAGTAGTATCTCAGTTTGGCTTCAAGTTGCATTTCCATTCTAATTATTTAAAAGTGATTCTGGGCCATATGCATATCATTTCATTTTCTATGAGACTTTTCAAAGTATATACCATTAAAATTTGTGTTTGTATTTTTGGTGTTAAGTTTTCAGAGTTTATTTCTGCATTCTTTAGTAGGTCCTTTCTCAGATACCTGCTTTGAAAACCTTTTTCCCTAGCCCATGACCTATATTGTGATGACCTTTGTGGATTATTACAATGTTTCAAATACTAGTAAAGTGCAATTTAGAGCCTTTTCTTTCGTGGTTTTTGTTTTCTGCTCTCTTTCATAGATTGCTTTACCCCAAGTCATGAAGATCCTGTATGTTCTTTTTGGCTTGTTTTTCTGTTTATTTTCTGAAAGATAGAGTATAACTTTTGGATTAGGGGCAGAACTCATCTCAAAAATTCATTGTCATGTATTTTATTAAGTAGAAGTCAAAGTGTTAGGTAGGAAGTCAGTTATGAGCTTATGTGTGTGTGACATAAAGGCCTAAAGAGAAGACATCTATGTCCAGCATATGCTGCATCTCAAAGTCATCCTGACAATGTTTCAGGTGCAGCCCGGTCTTCGAATCCTGCCCTGCCCCCTTCTACCTGATAAGCTGCCAGGTGGAGGTCCCCGCCCCTTCTGCCTGACAAATCTTCCACAATCTCCCAGATGCAGCCCAGTATCTGCATTTCAAACACCCTGCTCCAGATCCCCATTCTCTAGGGGGTCCTGCTCACCCTTCCTCTGAACCCAGGATGGCACCAGCTAGGTTTCCTCTGTCTCATACCTTCAAGGGAAAACTCAGATAGGAGTTTCTTAATATTTACAGCCATAAAATCCTTTGTTTCAGGAGGAGATGTGTGAAGACAAAGACCCATCTCCTTAAAAACCCCCGGCCTCAACCGGACTGCGCGTTCAGCCCTCTGCCTCTCTGCTGAGCCGCCCGCCTGGTCTGGCCAGGTGTAATCTCTCCACTCAACCATGTAACCTCCACCCTCCCCCCCCCACCCAGTCTCTCCCCATCCATCCTTACGGATGTCCCTTCCCTAATAAACCTTGCTATTTTACCTCCCACTACTCTCTGTCTCACACATGAATTCTTTCTTGTGCGAAGACAAGAACCCTGCAATTTCTCCAGTATCAAAAGTATAAATTTGTTGAAAAACTAATTATTCTCTTGAAATTTCTTGATGTGTATGTAAAATAATTCTTCCAGTGGTCATGCTAACTTTTGGGAAAAGTGGTGTACAGAAATTAAGATCAGCTGTGTTCAGCCTGAGACTGAGAGTGATACTGCTGAAACTCTTTCTCAATGTACGTATTCATTAAGTTTCTACCAGCTGCTTTTTTTTAATTTCCAGAATTGGGATCACATGCAACTTACAAGACATAACTCCTGAGTGTTTTAGGTATTTAGGGGTCCAAGTGTAAGCAGAGATTTTCAAACTATGTGTGCTTATTTTTCACTGTTAATGTATGGAGACATAAATGACTCGGGGAATGTTGTTTTCTTCTTGAAGCATCACTGGAGGCACCCAGATGGCTCAATGCAGATGATGCAGTTCGGGGTCTGCTGTGGAGTGGGGCCCAGTGAGCCTGCCCTGGATGCTCCCTTGCTGTGAAGCCTGGGTAAGTGAGTGATCATGGCCCAGGGGGTGGGGCCTGGGTGCGAGCAACTCAGCTCCACTGCCAGCTGCCAGCACTGACGGATAGATGAGCCTTTCTGCTCTGACGTTCGTGGTTCCTCCTCCACCCCTTGGTGGAAGATTTTGGCCCCAGGCTCAAGGCCAAAAGAGCCGCAGCCAAACTGCCTGGGGAGCAGGGTTGTTTCTGCATTGGAAGTTGACAGCAGTTAGTCTATCCACCTCTGCTGGGGTCTGCACCCTCAGAACAGCCTGCCCACATCTTGGACTCCACTGAGGTTTCACTGTCCCCTACCCAACTTTTGAGGTTCCCACAAACAGAATTGGCTGTGTACGTGCAGGATTCTTGTTCATGTGTGGACAGCAGTGGCTGACTTCCTTATTCTGCCGTCTTGCCGACATCACCTGCCTTTATTTTAGATTATAGCTAATGAGAGATTTTCTTATTTTTCCTTGGAAGAGTCCCTGAATGCAGTTCTCAAAAATTCAAAGAATATACACACAGGAAACCACATTCTGCAGAGGACACAGACATTGTTTAACATGGAGCAGAGTGTGGGTGCTTGATGATGCAGTCGGGGTCTGCCGTGGAGTGGAGTGTTTGGCCAGATGGTTCAGACACTAGTTGGGATGCTGAAAATCTTTATGAAGTGTCTGGGTTCGAGTCCTGACTCCACTCCCCATTCCAGTTTCCTGCTAACAAGCACCCTGGAAGGCAGCAGATAATTGCTTATGTGGGTGGACCTCTGACACCAACAGGTTGAAGGACCTGGCTCCTGCTTTCAGCCCTGGTCCACTCTTGACCATTGTGGGCATTTGGAGAATGGAAGCTCTATCTGTATTTCTTTTTTTTAAAGCAGTAAGCATGCTAGCCACGTATGATGAAGAGAGTACACCTGACAGACCAGGCAGACCTCTTGGTAAAGAACCAAGAGCCCAGTCTGCATTCACTGCAGTTTCCATGGCTGGGGCAGGGTCTTCTAGTTCTGCTCCTGTGGAGTTCAGGTATGAGTAATTAATTCAAACCCTAAGTTAGCTTAGATTAAGTACATTTGGAGTGAAGACTTAATAGTGTGCAGTATGTTAAGATTAAGTGATATAAAATATGGGGCAACATATTAAAGTCAAGCTAAATCTTGGTCTCAGGAGCTTTTAGGACCTGTTGGGAGAACCACCGTTCCTCCATGACAGGCTTTATTTTAAGCCAGAAAAAGACAGGCCTAAGAGTATGGGAGTGAAACTATTCCTGGAATTTAGATTCTTCTGCATTCCTGTGTGACACCTAGCCCCTGAGTTGCTCAAATGCACCAATGAAATGCATAGATAATAAGGAACTCACCTACCTGTGTAGTGACCTATGTACTTGTTTACTCGAGTGCATAAAAATGCTGGGAGGGAGAGGGATGGGGCTTTTCACCTCAGCTCTGTGCTACGTTGTTTGTGCTGGTAAGAAGCTGGTAATAAATCCTCTTGCTGTTGCATCAGTCTGCCATTTGTGAGTTGTTTTGAGGAGGGTCTCATACCGGACACAACAATCCCTGTACCTCTCTGTAGAATCCCTCTGGGTGCAGGGCTTACTGGATATGGAATCCCTCCCAGAACTTCATAATAGCCCCCTTGGTGAAGGATAGATGAGATTCCTCGAAGCTTCCCTCAGAGAGAGGGCTGGGATCCACCCAACCAGCTACTGAACAAAGACAAGGCTTTTGATCCATGAATTCTGACATGTTTCTACATTTTTCATCATTCTACCACACAGAAATTTTTATTTTTTTTCTTTGGCCCCTTCATACAGACATAGGTTCATGTCTACCTGGCTACCACTGATCTATCTGTATTTTTTCTCTTTTTTTTCTGACTCTCTCTCTGTCTCTCAAACAAATAAATAAAAATAAATGCTCAGACATTAAATTTCTCTATACAATTGACTCAGTTATTAGCAACTTTTCATGCTGATTCATAAGCTTTACTTTCGCCTAATTCATTATTAAAATAGAGAAAATGTCACATTTAAAATGTTCAGTTCAGGCAGTTAAGCTCATCTTAAACAATGGGCCTAAGTGTGCTGGCATTTTGGAGTTACGGATATCGCAAACCATCTCTCCAGGGCGCCCTTGACCTCGCTGTTCCTCAGGCTGTAGATGAGGGGGTTCAGCATGGGTGTGAAGATGGTGTAGAAGGCCGACACAGCCTTGTCATGGCTGGCTGACCTGGAGGACCTGGGTCTCATGTAGACAAACATGGCGGCTCCATAGAAGAGGCCCACCACAGTCAGGTGGGAAGAGCAGGTGGCCAAGGCCTTCTTGCAGGCTTCTGTGGAGCGCATGTGGAGAACAGCAGCCAGGATGAGGCTGTAGGAGATCAGGATGAGGGAGAAGGGGACCAGGAGCATCAACACGCAGCAGATGTACATGGCATACTCAAAGACAGACGAGCGGGCACAGGCCAGGCGCATCAGTTCGGGAGCCTCGCAGAAGAAGTGGTTGATCTCACGTGACCTGCAAAACGGGAAGCTCAGGGTGACGGCAGCCTGCAGGAGGCCGTCAGCAGCCCCCAGGATCCACGACCCCACAGTCACTTGCAGACATAAGCGCCAGCTCATGAGAACCAGGTAGCGCAGTGGGTGGCAAATTGCCACATAGCGGTCGTAGGACATGGCCGCCAGGAGGAAGCTCTCCCCGCCGGCCAGGGTCAGGAAGAAGAAAATCTGCGACCCACACCCCGTGCGGGAGATGGACTTCCTTCCGGTCAAGTAGTCGGCAGCCATTTTGGGCACCGTGGTGGAAACCAGCATGACGTCCATGAGGGAGAGCTGGCTCAGGAGGAAGTACATGGGCGTGTGGAGCCGGCGGTCCCGGGCAATCAGGAGCAGCATGAGTGCATTGCCCACCACGGAGGCAGTGGCTACTGCCAGCACCACTGTGAAGAGAAAGCGGTGGAGTCTTGTGTGGTTGAAGAACCCCAGGAGAATGAAGTCTGAGGTGGCGTTTCTCTTCTCCATGATGTCTGCAAATGGGAGGAGCAGAGAGGCAGGGTCACTGTCTGGACGCACTGACTGTGCTTACATAACTGCTGGACGTGCACTGGCCCGTGGACTGCAAGGCCCGAGGGCTTCCCACCACTCGCCACCATCTGGCCTTGCACGTACAAGAGGTCTTCAAAAAGTTCGTGGAAACACATATTCTGGTGAAAAATGCATGGATATCAAAGTTTTTGCACCAAAATAAGCTTAGTTTTAAATTCCATTTTTCCAGAACTTTCTGAATACCCTTCTAACTCAGTTTATAATGTTTTAACAGATGTCGAGAATGTACTCCACTCTGTCCAGGATTAAATAATGGCCGAGGATCACGTTTGCCATTTTTATATTGCTTGTACTGCTATTATTGAGTTTTTACTATGCTTAAACCAAAATTAACCAGCTGAGAAAAAAAAGTCACTTGGAAAAATGCTGCTTATATTTGTTTGAGTCACAGATGATTTGTCTTCAGTGTTTGGAAACTTAAATTAGGGTCCTCAGAAAAATAAACAGGAGAAGTTATTTGTTTTCATGTGAATCAGAATGCTCACAGAATGAAATATATGCATGTAAATAAAAGAGCATCTTCCTTTAAGCTGTAATAGTTTCCTAAGTAATTGATGAAAATTCTCTGATCACCCACTAACCGGCTCTTTAACCGGATCGTTAAGACGCAGACATTCTTGTCTGATGCTTCCTGCTCTGAACCCTTCAGCACCTGGCCCACACTTCACAGAAGAAGCAGGATTTCTTCCCAAGCCTACAGGGGTTTGTAGAGAAATGCTGCGCAGTCTCGTGCCAAAGTGCAGCACCACGGAGACCTGGAAGCCTGGCAGCAGAGCAGGGGAGCACGGGGCTGTCTGCCGGTGGCAGGAGGGAGATGGTGAGGAGTGCGGGACACAGCTCCAGGGAGCACTGTTGTTACTCACAGAGGAAGAGCAGATTCAGAAAGAAAAACAAGTGCATTTAAAAAGAAATACCTAAATTGATACTAGGCCTATACTTTAAAAAGATCTCAGTATTTCATCAACTATTCATGTGTTTAAGGATATGCAAGTTACTGAGCCCACAAAGATGAGCACAGTTCCATTGGCTCACAGCTTGCAGGCTGTAATACATTGAGCATAAGAAAAGCATTTCTGAAGTTTATAATTTCTTAAGTTATTAATTTACTTATTTTGAGAAACAGAGATAGATGATTGAGAGATGATAGATAGAGGATAGATGACAGACATCTGCTGGTTCAATCCCAATGCCAGCAACAGCTGGGCTGGGCCAGGGCTGAAGCCAGGAGCCCAGAACTCCATCTGGTTCTCCCATGTATGTGGCAGGGACCCAACTACTAGAACCATCACCTGCTGCCTCCCAGGGTGTGCATGAGAAGAAGCTGGACTTGAAGAGGAGGAGGACTCAGTCCCAGCACTGCTCTGCGGAACACGGGTCTCCCAAGCAGCGTCTTAGCTGCCAGGCTAAGTGCTCCCCACCAGCTCTTTATGGTTTTTGAGCTGCGTAGTAAGAACATGACCTGCAAACTTGCAGGAAACAGAAGAGCACAGAGCTGCAAAAGTCAGCTCCTCTCTGAGGCAAACAATGCCCCGAGGCTCTGCATTTGCACAAAGCCAGGACTGTGCTGTCTCTGGCTTGATGGCTGTGACTCCCCTGATGCCGGGAGCTCGGGAGCTTGGGGCAGCTGGAGCCCGCTTCTGCACAGCTGCCTCCCAGCCGGGGGCTGCAGAAGGGCAGTGTCTGTGGCTCAGTGAGTTGCTGTGGGGCAGGTGATATGGCGTTGCAGGTTAAGCCACAGCCTGTGGCACCGGCGTCCCACATGGGTACCCTTCATGTCCCTGCTGCTCCACTTCCAATCCAGCTCTCTATTACTGTGCCTGGGAAAGCAGCAGCAGATGGCCCAAGTGTTTGGGCCCCTGCACCCGTGTGGAAGACCCGGAAGAAGCTCCTGGCTCCTAGCTTCAGGATAATTCAGCCCTGACCATTGTGGCCATTTGGTGCAGGAACCAGCAGATGGAAGATTCTCTCTCTCTCTCTCTCTCTCTCTCTGTAACTCTGCCTTTCAAATAAATCAAATAAATCTTTTTAAAAATTGCTGTGTGTGCCACAAGTACATTCAGATGCAAGCAGATCTAACACTCATAACATGGAAAAGTAAGTTATCAGGAAAAAAAATGTGTGGAAATGCACTTTATGAAAAAGAAAGGCCACACATGGTTTCAAAATAAACTTATCTGTTAATTAACAAAAAACCACCAGTGTCTTTGGGGTGGCTTGCTGAAGTGAAGTGAAGGGAAACAGGCAAAAACAGGCCAAGACTTCACCTAATGTTTTGTCCAGTCTTCTTGACTTTCTCAGCCTTCTGTCTAGCCTGCCGCAGCCCCTTGTTTTATGTTTTTGGTGCTCACACAAACAGCATTGAAAGCATCTTTCTCTCCTTATTGCCACAGCCGCTGAATCCTTGGCTGTAGCTTCCTTTGCCTCCACCATAACTTGAAGCCACCTTCCACTCCTTTGATTGCTATAAAAGAACAGGGGACTTGGGAAGACAGGGCTTGGTTAGGAGTCATGGCATTCCCAAGTACAGCAGGTTTCACAACTGTGCTTTGTGACAGGACTTGCAAAGAACCACGGAATGATATTTTCTGAGTACTGCATATGAAATACACATTGTGTGCCCTAGAAGTCAAACTATAAATCATGGGAAAGCAAAGAATCATGGCTGTCATTTCTCGTGGAATGCAGAACAAGTTGCTTAAAGTTATTTTTTACTTCTTGTTGATTTGTATGTTTCAAATTATAAATCTTCCTAAACAGATATATTCGAAGAGATAATGTCTTGCACATGGAAGATTTTTTTAATAGTTGCAAAAAATCAATTTAGCATATTCTCAGTTTAGTTTAATTTCAACTTTTTTTTAAGTCTATATCCTATGTTGCCTTTATTTTTTACATACCACAAGCTTAAAGTCACAGCACACAATGGCAATTTGATGATTTGCTCTAAGGGCTGTTGCAATCTGAGAAGGTAAGATCTAAAGATTTGAAAAGAATAAATTCTGCATTGCAGATGGTTATAACCCTTTTCAGAATTAAATATTCCAAGACTAGAGGTACAAGTGGGACAGGAGAGAGAGAGGGGAGCAATCCGACACAATACGAGAGACACAAGTGTGTCTCCAGCTAACTCTATCACTTTCATTTGGAACTGTGACTCTGTAAAGCAGAAATGTAACTGTTAGGTAGGAAGTCAGATATGAGTGTGTGACATAAAGGCCTAAAGAGAAGACATCTATGCATCTCAAAGTCATCCTGATAACGTTTTTTTTTTTGGGGGGGGGGAGTCCAGTATCTGCATCCTGCCCTGCCCCCTTCTACCCAATAACCTGCCAGCTGGGGGTCCCCGCCCCTTCTGCCTGATAATCTTCCAGATGCAGTGCAGCATCTGCATTTCAAATACCCTGCTCCAGATCCTGATTCTCCAGGGGGTCTTGCTCACCCTTCTTCTAACTCAGGGTGGTGCCAGCCAGGTTTCCTCCTGTCTGATACCTTCAAGGGAAAACTCAGATAGGAGTTTTAGTATTTACATCCATAAAGTCTTTTGTTTCAGGAGGAGATCTGTGAAGACAAAGACCCATCTCCTTAAAAAAAAAAACCCGGGCCTCAACTGGACTGTGCCTCTCTGCTGAGCCTCCTGCCTGGCCTGGCCAGGTGTATTCCACTCAACCATGTAACCCCGCTCTCCCCTAATCTGAGCGACTGGGCACTCTCTCTCAGGCTCTGTCTGGAGAGTGCCCATCCGTTCTTACGGATGTCCCTGCCCTAATAAACCTTGCTATTTTACTTTCCACTACTCTCTGTCTCATGCCTGAATTCTTTCTTGCGCGAAGACAAGAACCCTGCCATTCACTGGTAACATAGGTAACATACAAACAACTGACTCTGTTCTCTTACACTATAAACCCTGTGTGTAATATGTAATAAATTAGACTTTTCAGGGTGGAGCAATCAAATAATTGTATACAAAAATCAATTTAAATTTACCACTTAATTTTTCTTTCATGTAATGCAGCTTGATCATCTTGCTAAAATTCATTCAAGTCTATTTTAAATGAAGTGTTTGGGGCATTATGGATAAACAGCTGCACTCATGCTTTTAGAGAAATATTTATTCCTTAACTAAAAGGCTGTGTAATAAATTCATGAGAATGTGGATGCTGCTGTATTCTGATATTCAATTAAGATGCCTGCAAATGAGAGGAAAAGTTAAAACCATATAGACACTTTTTAGAAACAGTTTAGAGTATATGTATGGGCATGTACACACACACACACACATACACACACACGCTGTTTTCCCAGAAGTGGGAGAAACTGCCCTCTTCCAGGAATAGGAGATGGACAGCTGTCCACCTAGATGTGCATCCTTCAGAGAGAGAAAGGGAGACACTTGTGTTGTTCATGGAGCAGCACATCTGACCCTAACTGCTTTCTGATCACACCCACCTGTGAGCAGCCCAGGTCGGTGAGCCATGGATTCCCCTGGCGTCTTCCCACAGGGTGGCTGCGGTTCACACTGCTCATGCCCTTGGCCTCAGGCCTTATTTAAAATCCTCTCTGGCTGCTCCTAACTCCCTGCACCTCCAGAACGACTTCCCTGGAGCAAAGCCACTTTAAAAGGCAAACAGCATTGTCAGGGGATCAGGTATTTAATTGTTGTCTAGCAGAAACTAATGTGGTGAGCTGATTTAGCTCCCAGATTGTGTGGGAAGCAGAAGAGGCCCGCCAGGTGAGAATGGCAGAGCAAGGGGCAGGCAAGTGCAGACCTGGACCCTCCGTGGGTGTCACCAGATTGCCTGAAATAGACACTGCTCAACTTCTTAAGTGTCGTGATGACACGGATAGGTTTTACCTGTCAATCATTTCCAGGTGCGAGTGAGAACACCGGGCATTTTAGAACTTGCATGCGCTTGACT